TTGTTCTTTTTTTTTTTTCTGTTTTGAAACATCAGAAAAACAGTGGAAACAAAAAAAAGGATAAAACAGGATAAAATACGGTAAAATATAAATGAATGTAAGATAAAAATAAAATGTGTATGTAAAAACAATTATATAACATTAAAGTTGGATTCCAATCACAGTGCAAGAAAAACAAAAAAAAAAAAGTTAGACCGAATAACATAGCAACCTTTTGTTAGTGTTTCTCAAATAGTTTTTAAGACTGAAAATGATAGCAGCAAATAAATTACGTCAAATCAAAAGCAACCTTATTTAGGTTTTTCCTCTTTCCCCCCCCCCTCCCCCTCCCCCTTCTTCTTCTTCGTTTTCTGCTTCTTCTTCTGCTTCTGCTTCTGGCTCTGGTTCTGGTTCTGATTCTGGTTCTGGCTCTGGTTCTGGTTCTGATTCTGCTTCTTCTTCTGCTTCTGCTTCTGCTTCTACTTCTACTTCTGCTTTTGCTTCTGCTTTTGCTTCTTTGATTAACAAACTTCTTTATTTTCGGCAACATAATCAAGACAAATAATAGTAAATAAAAACAAGAAAAAAGAATTTGTTTTTTATCCTTTATTTTTTACAACAGTTTATTATTATTATTTTTTTTTTGACATAACTTTTATTTGGCATAAAATAAAAGAAAAAGTAAACTTAAGCTACTGGACAGCATTTGTTGTTGATGCTCCAACACATTTATTAGGAACAAACAAATTAGTTATTTGTCAGATCTGCTAAACTTGATTTTTGCAACAAAACTTTGAACTGCTATACTTTTTTTTTTTTTGCTGGAAAACCTGCAATAAACTAAAATAACATGACATTTACATTTGTTGTTTAATCATCAACTGAATAAATAAAATTGAAATTTTGTTGAAGGAACCATTGTTTTTATCACTTTTTTCTATTTGTCTTTTTTTCCACCCTTTTACTGCAATTAAAGTAATAAAATTGCAAAAAGTTTGAAGCAACTAATGATAAAGCATTATTATTTTTTTCTGCTTTTTTTTTCGTTTATCATAAATTGCCTAAATAAGACCCAAAAATAATTTTGCAAAAAAAAGATGTTTTATCCAAAATAAACGAACTCAACATCTGTTATAAACTGTTAAAGTTTTCATAAGCACAAAAAAAAAAAAAAATTTTTTTCCGGTTGTCGTTGTCGTCGATTTAGTTTAATATATAATTTTTTATTCGATTTATACAGAATTTTTTTTTTTTTTTTTTTAATAATATAGTTTCTATTTCTTTACATTTTTTAAACTTTTTCGCTATCGCTACTTACTGCAACATTCTGTTGTCGATATGTTCGGAAAACAAAAGGATTGACAAACACAGATATACTATGAAGCAAAAACTATGTCACTTTTTTATAGGATATTCTTTACAACTGCTATTGCATTCACTTTACTGCTATCAAAAAATTTTTTTATATTTTATACACTTAATAACTCACTGTTCTGCTGTACTGTTTAGTTTCTGTTAATTATAATGAACTTTGAAACCTTATCAGCCTTGTTGATCACATCTTTTAACCACTTTAGTATTGTCTTCAAAACACCTAAAATTTATCATTCTGAACAACTGTTAACTGAAAATATTGCATCCAAAATAGGAAAAGAAGATTCAATAAAACAAATAAATATTTGTAGTAACTGTTTTCAGACAGCTTTTGCGTAATATGCTAAAGACATTTATCTTATTGAAAATTAAAGTCAGCCAAATGATAAACGACTGGCTTATACCAGTGTCAAATTTGGGCAGTGATCAATAGCGGTGAATTTTCATTTACCGAATGCACCAATCCAAAGTATTACTATTATTTGCTATTTCGATTCGAAAAAGAAGGCATTCTGGTCGTTATTTCTACTTCCAAACTTTCAAACATGATA